CAACAGCAGGTAACACCAACAAAGATGTATTAGTGGAGGCAGAACCATCATGAGTTTTTTCATTGTTTTCCAGGATAGCAAACTTGTTTTTACATGGGATCGGGATGTCAAGCTGTGAGGCTTGCAGTTTTGGGGCCCCATCCTTTACGACTGTCCATTCATCATCATCAGACTTTTTCTCTTTTGATTTTGGTTCCTGGTTTGATTAAGAGTTTATAGGATCCTTATTTACAAAAGACTTAGAGGGTGTTATTGAAGACTTAGCTGTCTCGTTAGCTTTATTTCTATCCACCAGAAACCATTCTTCAAAAGATGACAGCTGGGGAAAGCGGAAATAGTTCAAAATATATTTTGCATTTACAAGCACATTAAGCCCACACTCATTGGAGTTGCGTTGTTGTTGACAGGGCATTTCAACAACTGGTCCGATTCCAAGATTTGAAGATACAACTATTGCAGATTTGTTATTACAGTTACCTAATGAGTCAAAGTGGTATGACTTCTTTGAAGCACGGTCACAAAATAGGAGGCTCCAATGTGAACCAGAGCTCATTTTACAAGGGTCCATAGAGTCATTGATGCAACAGAAAATATATTTGCATTGATCAGAATTCAGGAAGGGAAAATCTTCTAGGGCTGTTTTGTTGGTTCTGAATTTAAGCATGTGAGTTTCAGGAGGGCCAAGAAAAATTATGTCATTTCGAGTTCTGGAAGCACTCTCAGACATTGAATCGAAATAAACTGAAAGGACACAGTCATCAGCCCACTTGTCTTTACGCCAAGACTTTTCTCTGTTAATTAACATGGTCACATTTGAGTGACTTAGAGACAGCTGGTCTTTTAGGCTAGACAAGATCGTTTGTAGCTTGTTGTTTTCTGATTCCAGGACTCGCTTGGCTTCTTGTTCAGATTGCAATGTTGTCAAGAAATCACTATTGGCTCTTTCAATTTGACTTTCAGGATCCAAGATTTGAGGGGCTGTCAGCAGTTCACATTGCACAGAACAATCTATCATCTTATGTATGTAGTCGGGAACAGGGAAAATTTCCTCTGTGAATCGCATTAGACGAGTATCCGATTCAATGGAATGGTCAAGTACACATTTCAGTTGTCCTTCCAGAGTCCTATTATGTTCTTTTAGTTGCCTGTTTTCCTCTTCTAATTCTAATAAAGAGGGTGGAATTGATTCTTTAGATTCAGAAGATAAGCTGTCAAAAAGCTCTGAGGTAGAAATAGGTTCTGTAGGAATTAGTTATAGGTGTAGATGCAAAGAGGTCCACATTATTTTCGTTTGTGTCTATTGACTGTATAGGTGATTCACGATTTGAGGCCTTAGGTGATTGTAATGACCTCATAGTAACTGGATGAGGTCCAGTGTGTTTACTATTAGTTACAGTTAAAGTGGATTTATTTGCATCCGTTTTAACTACGGCGTTACAGTTCCTACCAAGGCATCTCCATGTTATTTCGCCACTTTTAGCCACATAATTCTGTCTAAATTTATGATTATTAAAAACAATATTAGGCTTGCCATTTTTTGTCTGCTCTATTTGAAAATCCATAGGCCTATTAAAGGTTAAATTACCTTATGCTTTTTGCTTTACAGTAATAGCTTTACTGTAAAACTGTAATTATCCTTGTTTTGAAGTTAGCAATACTGAGTGTTAATAACAATAAGCTATAACCATTGTTGTCAGTTTGTATAGTCCAGCTCAGATAACAGATATGAACTTTGTGGTCTGTAGTTGCCACAACTGATAAGATGTAGTTGCCTGAAGATCAGTTTGTTTTTATTGTTTTCCAGGAAATTACTACTCTAACCAAACTGTATATTTTTTATTTTCCTTGAGCTTTTTTATGAGTAAAATAAAATCACTTGAAGTTTTCAATTTGTTTATTTGTGAGTAAAAGTCTTTTATTTTACTTTAGCTTTCTTGGTGATGTGTGATTAATGATATTATATACAGTTAAAATTAGGCTAGAAAAACATGTGCCTCTCTACATACTGGAAAGTGAGTACTTTAATTAGTAAATATCAAACTACTTTAAAAATAAAGTGTAAGATTGATTATTCAGTAACTAGAATAGTACTTCACCAATGTTTTTACTGCATGCAAGTACAATTTAACTTTGTAGGGCCTAATTCACTAAATACTTTAAAATGTTGAATCCATATCACTGAAACATGTACCATCACAAACCTGTTGTTATGATTTTTTTTGTTTTTTTTTTATTTTTTTTATATTTTTTTTACTTTATTTTTTTTTTTTTTTTTGCAGTATATATAGATTTTCCTTTTTTTCTATTTTTCGGTTTGGAACTATTGTGGCAGCTTTTCGTTTACAGTGCAAACCATTAAACACATTCTTTTATTATACCTTAACCCTCCGAGTGTCCATAGTTTAGGCCTTAATGTCCGCCTATTTTTGGCGCATTTGCAAGGTTTTATTAAAACAGATCTGAGAAGCTTAAAACAATGTTAATTCTACTGTTCTATATACCATTTTGTTTGGAAAATCATGGGCTTCAATATTATACATAAAACATAAGACACATTTGTTTCAAAAAAATTTTTAGGTAAAAGAAATATTTTGGAAAATTAAAAAAAAAAAATAAGTTCGCGCTCAATGAAATTGTATAAATTATAAGCCTATAAATATTTGAAAATAGCCACTTTGTTCTAAATTTTATGAGGATTACAAATATACAATAATATAAGGAAGTAGATTTGCAAATAAATAAGTTATGGGCAAAAAACAGATTTCAGTACATAGCGTTTAGCTAAGAATGCATAGCCTAACCATAGCTAGCAATCTGGCTGATAATTTACATCAATATCACTACCTACTTCTTCAGGATCATCAACCAGCCCTTCAAAATCACTAAAATCTTCTTATAATGCACCACGTATATCATTACTTTTGATTTTTAACACTAAAACAATGATAAACGTAATAAAACACATCAGTCATCGGTCCGAGGGTAACCTAGTTGCTTACAAATACGCACGTCAGCTGTCTGCTACAATTACGATCGGCTCGGAGAACATAAAGCGCTTAGAGACAGACCTCTGGAGAAAGCGTAGAATATAACGAAAAGAACGATACCTAACTCGATCCAGTTCAATCCGATTCAGTCAGTCATAGAGCCTTCGCCGTAAACGATGTTCGTGCGTCGAAAAATCGACGCGTGACACTTCACAAAGTGTGTCGCGCGTCGATTTTTTGACGAGTGACGCTCGGAGGGTTAAAATCCATCATTGATTTTGTATCGTAGGTAGGCCAAGCCTAAATAAGTATTGACAGTATGAGTTAACAAAAACGTACTATTATAAAGTTAAGTAATACAGTTAAATTTTGTTTCTAAATTAAATGGTAGGAGTGAAACCATTTGGCATTTTCAAAGAACCTATGTGTCTCTTTTGCATACTGACCCGTTGCAAGGCACGGGTATAGCTGCTAGCAAATACGAAATAGTAGTGCTGATTTGCAGTAGTAGTTCAATAAAATAACAAGCGACCGGCTGACCGGCACTACTAATTGTGACCAACGGGATTGATTTATTTAGTATCTTATATGCATTAGAGTTAATCATGTACTACCACAAAGTCTTCTTTCTACATCAATTACAATTCCATAATACCCCCACTGCAGCAAACCTGCAGCCAACGCAAATTTCCATTTGTGTGACTTTATTTTCTATTAAATCTAATTCAATAACATTAGTTTTAACGAGTACCTAGGTTTGCTGCCTACAGGGAGGGTAACGAAGTGTGATTTTTAGAAGAATATTACTGTATTAGCTTAGTATGAAATAAATAAATTTGCCAAGTTTAAAAAAATCTATTCATAAACGAGCAATATTTCAACAGTTTACTTATCCGACTAATATTATAGCCTAAGTAAGAAAGTTTGGACATATGGATGTATGGATGGATGGATGGATGGATGGATGGATGTTTGTGACAAGTAAACGCGAAGAATACTAAACCGACAAGGTTGAAATTTGGTATGACGATAGCTGACATTCCCGATTAACATATTGACATATTCTTACCTCAAAAATCCTTTCAGGCTCCGCCCCAGTGGCTCTGGCCATAGAGTGTCTCATGTTAACCTTATGAGTATTCATATTTAAAGAAATTTTTCAGCCTTTTCAACTGCACAAGTTGGTTCTATGATATTAAATAGCATTAAAAAGTTATAAGGCTTACCAATAGGGTGCAGCACTATTATGTTTTTTGAATTTATGACCACAGCTAATTTGAACCAACTAGCAACAAAAAGTTGTGGTACACAATGAGAACTTTACTTTTTTCCATGGTTTAGGTGCAGTGGTAGAACATTAGGGCTATGGTAGATGTGTGTTACACTATAGGATACCGTATAAATTAAAAGACCAAATTGTCTTAAACCGCGTCTTCTCCCACAACTGCAATAAACATTTATACTTATATGCAAACCCCGTACGAAGGACGGGTGCTCTGCTAGTTTGTTATAACTAACAGCTGGTTGAATAAAAAATATTTTATAGATTTATGAGGTTAGTTTATTTACTCTGAGATTTTGTCATTGATTATAGGAAATAAGCAAGATTCTGTAACCATTGCTGTATACGAATCGAAGCTCACGAATCTTTAAAAGAAAGCTTATGAAAATTATTTTACTATTTGACTTTTTGAGGAAAGGTTGGGGAAATAACAATGATCATATGTTTTAACTCATCTTGGTAGCTTTTTCTTTACTATCAATTTTGAACTGCTTAAACTATGCCTGAATTAGTAATAGACACACTATATATAGTTTTAATGGACTACTCGATTCCCGTACGTAGGACGGGCCAACAGCTTGTTTTTATTTACTTTAGGAAGTTCCAGAATAATTTGAATGCATGGCACGGTTGTGTTCAGTTTCATCTAGACTTAAGATTACTACGTTATATGTTATATCTATAAACAATGTCTGATTATAACTACAGTAATGACCTATGTTTTATTGCAGAAGTTCCTGTACTATGTGCTGAAGAGCAGTGATGTTCTAGATATCCTTGTCCCAATATTGTTCCATCTCAACGACTCCAGGGCTGACCAGTGTGAGTGTTCCTTTGAGTAATGGGTTTTAAATTTTAAAATATAAATTTGTTGCATTTCATATTAAAACATATTTATTGTAAACGGCATATTTGTAAAATATTTGATATTTTGCAGTTTGTAAATGTATGTTTCGACACAAACATGTCCTAAGCATGACGTGTCAGACAAAAAAAATATATAAAAAAGAAAATCAAGGCACTTATTCCTGCAAAAATCAGCAAAGTGTTTTCTCGGATGATTATGTAGTGTGAAATGAACAATAGTTTATTATGTATCTGAGTAATAGTATTGCAATAGTATTTGTCTAGGCTATTTGAGTGGGGACTTCTGTTTTAGTGGCATTGTTTCAAACCATACACATACCTATATTTTCAATCAGAGTTATTTAAGTTTGTATGATAACAGTATCTTTGTTTCTTAAAATTAGAAAAAAATTCAGTTGATACATTTTACATTTTTTCAATTAAGTGTAAATGTTTGTTAACAGCTCGAGTCGGACTGATGCACATAGGAGTGTTTATTCTTCTTCTTCTAAGTGGTGAAAGAAACTTTGGCGTTCGTCTCAATAAACCTTACACTGCCACCATCCCCATGGATATTCCTGTTTTCACAGGTTAGTGTTTTTGTGTTGGAGTTACACTATTTATAATTCAGTCCATTCCTGTATAACAAAATCAACTTACTGCCAAAATTGTTAGTCAAAAAGCACTCTTATTCCATTTTACTTGATTTTGGCATAGTCATAATTAGCTTAGCCTATTCCTATTGTAATATTTGTTTCACATTTTTCTAGGTACTCATGCAGATTTACTAATCACAGTATTTCATAAAATCATTACAACGGGCCATCAAAGGCTGCAGCCCCTGTTTGACTGCTTGCTCACCATCCTTGTAAATGGTGAGTTGACTCGTACATGGTAAACAGACTGCAAGTGACAAAAATATGGCTTGTCAAAGCTGTACTTTTTTATGGCATATATACCGGGTGTCCGAAAAATAACTCCCTAGTTTTGATAAACGATTGTTTATTGTAGAGAATACATATTCTTATATCTAATACATGAAATTAAAGAGGGTTTACTCAAGTTTATTTTGACATTAGTACACCTCGATATGTGACCCATTTGTAGCTCTACAGATATCTAACCGGTATTCAATCTCTCTCCAAGTGTTAGTTAACATATCAGGTGTCACTGATTCTACTGCAGCTACGATTCTTTGACGAAGATGGTCAATGTCACGTATCTTTTCTGAATAAACCCAAACGAGCGTTTAAGGCCGAGCGCACACGTTTTTTGTAATGGGGCGGCGCACCGTCTTGCTGGAATATTACTAGTCCTTTTTCCGCCTCGATGTCATCCACCTGTGGAAACACGTACAGTTCAAGCATTTCACAGTAGATATCGCCATTTATAGTGTTTTCACAAAAAATAAAAGGTCCAACAATTCGATCGTTCATTAAACCGCACCACACATTAACCTTAGGCGAGTCTCGTTGGTGTTGAACAATTTCTCGTGGCTTCTCAGACCCCCAAATTCGGCAGTTGTGGCGATTTACAACCCCGCTAACATGGAACGTTGACTCATCAGTGAACAAAACATTGTTCAGGTAGTTTGGATTCTCATCAATTCTGTTGAGAATGTCCACAGCAAAATCTAACCTTAAGCGTTTATCATTTGGTTTTATTTCGTGGACCAGTTGGATTTTGTACGCATGTAATTTCAGTCTTTTACGTACCACGTCGTAGACAGTAGATCTTGGTAATCCCAATTGTAGACTACGGCGCATTAGTGACGTCTTAGGGCTGCGTTGGCATGAGGCTCTGATTCTCTCTACATTCTCCGCTGAAACAGATGGCCTACCCGGTCGTTTTCCTTTTAAAACACTTCCCGTCTCCTTAAATTGTTTTAACCAACTGCGAATTGATTTCAAATCAGGTGCACTGCCACCATACTCACTTCTGAAGTTACGTTGCACAGTAGTAACAGATTTTGTTTCCACTAACCAAATTACGCACTGTGTGCTTTCTGCTGTGGAGTAGCCATTGCACTGACTGACAGTCAGACAGTCGAGTCTAGCGCTCGGCGCGGCGGCGCAGCGCGTGGTGTAACTACACGCTCAAGGTCAAACAGGTGTGCCAACCTTAATACCAACGTACGAAACTAAAACTTAAGAGCATACTCAACAGGCCCAAAGAATTATTTTTGTCCATTCTAACGAATACTGTCCTCAGAAATTTGATAAAACTAGGGAGTTATTTTTCGGACTCCCGGTATATATATATATGTGTGTGTCCGTTAGCGCGATAACTCAAGCAAAAATGATCCTATTTTGATGAAATTTGGACCTACATGTGGTTTTGAACCTACGTTTATTCGAACTAGTTCGGGAACTAGCATAACCGGACCATGGGAACGGCGGTTTACGGGGTTTTTTATGAGGTTTAATGGGGTTTTACCCATTTTTTACCATAAAAACAAAAAAATTTCCCATATATAGGGAATATTAGCGAATTTCCCATATAGGGAACAAGCTATTACCGTAGTACTCATGGTAAGACCTGGACCCGGGACCGATTTAATTTTTCGTTTTGAGGTCCCTAGAGACCAAAAACACCTTCCGTTTAAATTCATATATATATATATGTTTTGATAGCTCTGTTCACTTTTTAGGGCTACTTTTTCAATTAATAAACAAAATAATAAAAACCAGAGTACCCTGAAATTCATTTTTATTTAAACTGATACGTATTTCCGCACTAAAGCCATGATCACAGTATGAGCTATATAAAAGTATGTAAACAAATAAATATATATATGAATTTCCTTTCCGGGTGTATATGTGTCCGTTAGCGCGATAACTCGAGCAAAAATTATCTGATTTTGATGAAATTTGGTACAAACGTGTAAACCTACGTTTATTCAAACGAGTTCACGAACCAGCATAATCGGACTATGGGAACAGGGGTTTATGTGGGGTTTTATGGGGTAAAAGTGGGGTTTTCTCATTTTTCACCCTAAAAACAAATATTTTTGCAATTTCTTTTTAAACCGTTTTATAGAGCTTAAAAAAAGAAATAATTTAGTATATTTAAGCGCTCTTGTATGCCTAACGGTCACGGAGAAAATTCAAAACTAGTGTAATTTAAAATTCCCATGTTATTCTTGATGTGTTTAACTGATGTACTGACTTTAGACCATATGTGTATGTGAATTAATGATCACCTGTTATTTTGCATTTGTTTTGTTTGTATCAGTTTTTCTGTTTACATAAAAGTATGAGTTTGATTCAACTGAACTAATTTACTTATTATTTGAAAATATAACATTGGCGACGAGAAAAACGAAGAATGGATGGACAAGAGTTAAATAATCTAAAGAAAGCACGAGCAGTAGTAAAAGGACAGTTGAAGAAGGCAGAAAGATTCCAGTCTCAAGGTAGTCTTACAGTGACTGAGGTGTAAACTCAAAAACTCAAAGCAATTGCTGACCAGTGGGAACGTTACAAAAGTATTCAGGACCAAATTGATACATTAACCGATGAAGAAAACTTGCACCATGAAATAGAATGTAGATGTAATGTCGAGGATAAGTATTTAAATCTTACAACAAAACTTCAAGAGTTGATTAAGAATGAATGTTCCAACACTAGGTCTACACCACTTCACCCAATCAGCAATCCATCTGAGGCGACACATAGTTCAATTCCCGGGTCCTCATTGTCGGGTAGTATAAATTTTACACCTTTTCACCCGGAGGAAACGGTTACAAATTTCATAAAGAGACTTGAAATATTCCTACACCTTAAAAATCTAAGTACAGATGATAATGCTAAAGTTTACATGCTACTACACGCTCTTACACCCCAGTTACACCAACAACTTTATGATTTATGTGCACCTGAAAACCCACTTACAAAAGACTACAGTGAGTTGGTTCAGATACTAAAGGATTTTGTAGAACCACAGCCAAGTCAATGGGCTTTACAACACAAGTTTATTTCACGTACTCAACAAGAACATGAATCCATAAATGAATTCTCAATAGCATCGGATCATGCTAACGTAGATTTTTTATCTCGGTTCCCAACTGAGCATGCTTCAACTAAAGGCAGGGACAACTGTGACCTTTTTCAACTTAGTCAACTCGATTCTTTTCAAATTAGTAGTTCCACAATTTCTAAGTCAACAGCCCACATCAAAGACCTTCAACCAATACTACATGCACTTGAACAAGGTGAATCAGTGGAAGCTTTTGGGTACCATGACAATGAATTAACACTTCAAGACGGATGTATATTCAAAGGATGTCGAGTTCTAATACCACAATCCCTTCGTCGGAAGGTTCTTGATGAACTTCATATTGGACATTTAGGCATGGAGAAAATGAAATCCCTAGCCAGAAGCTATTGTGCATGGAAGAATATTGATCGAGTCGAGATATAGAACAATTGGCAAAATCGTGCAAACAATGTCGTTTGAAACAAAATGAACCAAGAAAGGAACAAAATCATCCATGGCTAGCTCCCCAGGGACCATGGGAAAGGTTGCATATAGACTTTGCTGGTCCAATGCAAGGACAGTGGTACTTTATTATTGTGGACGCCTTTACTAAGTGGATTGAGGTTATACCTACTAAGAATACTTCTACAGAATTTTGCACAAGAGAACTTAGAACACTATTTGCTAACTTTGGTCTTCCCATGATTTTGGTTTCTGACAATGGAAGTCAATTTACGTCTAGCGTCTTTGAACAGTTCCTATTAGAAAACGGAGTGGTACACAAAACAACTGCTCCTTACCACCCTTCGTCAAACGGGCAGGCTGAGCATTATGTTCAGACTGTGAAGAAGTCCCTAAGAGCAATGGAAGACGAGGGAGGGAGACTAGACGTCAAACTCTTCAGAATGCTTATGCAGTTACGTCAAACCTCAAATTCATCTGGCTGTGATGCATACTCCTTGATGTTTGGCAGGAAGATTCGAACACACATAGCTCTTTTACATCCTACACGTAAACAAGAAAATGAACATGTGAAGCAAGCAACACGATATTTTAAGGAGGGAGACAGAGTACAAGCGAGAAATTATTCAAACTCAAAAGACAAGTGGAGTTTTGGAAGAATATTGCAAAGGGAAAGCAACCTTCTGTATAAAGTACAAATGGACGATGGAACTGTCTGGCGGCGTCATGTTGACCAACTACTCAAATGTGAAATAACGTTACCAAAACATTTCAGAGGGGAGAATTGATGTGTTTAACTGATGTACTGACTTTAGACCATATGTGTATGTGAATTAATGATCACCTGTTATTTTGCATTTTTTTGTTTGTATCAGTTTTTCTGTTTACATAAAAGTATGAGTTTGATTCAACTGAACTAATTTACTTATTATTTGAAAATATAACAATTCTTAAGGAGAAAATGAAAACTGTTGTAGTTTACTTGTTTATGGATATATATTGATAAAATTTGTCAAATTTATTTTTTTTATCCTACACTATTGACGTATGGTCAAAAATTACTTTTTAACTTCCCCGTAGCAGCAAACCTAAGCACTGGTTAAATCTAATGTTATTTAAATTGGGAATAAATATGGCTTATTTATGGAAATATTTTATTAAAAATGTATGAGACAAGTTGAAATTCACTTAGTCTGTAGGTTTGCTGCGGCGGGGGTATCATTAATTTCTCTCTGCTTGAAAACGTTTGTATTAAACGCAAATTTGCACTGTTTCATGTTTTATTTTTCATAATTCTTTCAAGAAATCCTAAAGAACAATATAAAAGTCATTTGGCATTTTCAGCAATAAACATAAGACGCCTTCTGGTAAGATATACTTCACCTATTTAAAAATTCCCTATACAAACTTTTATACATACTCTCAACTCTATCGTAGTCACCCTCTTTTCCTGAACTCCTTCAATCGCCTACATTATTTCATCGTTATCACAAACAAGACTTCAAAGAATTTAAGATGCATGCTAGAAAAATTGCTTATCTAAAGTGTAAAATATTATTTCTGACAGCATGTTTGTCGTATGAATTGACACCTAAAGGACTTCAACCAAAATTCCGAATGGGAGCTCTCCCTCCTGTAGTCCAACAAGATGTAAAAATATGTGCTATGAAAACCAACTTTGAAATAACTAAATTAGTATTACAATCTCACAAAGATTTGGCCAATACACATGGAAAACAGTTGAAAAAACAATATGACACTATGATAGTTTATTTTCCTGACACTCAATTCCTTATGTTTAGAAGCATTAAACTGTGGGCTGAGTCTTCCTACACCTTTTAGAGAGATGTTTAATAATGAAATTAAGCCACCACTGTTTGAACAGAAACCTTGTTTAGCTGATAAATTAATTCTTCAAAAACCTAATGTCAACCAAAAAAACCATGCTCCACCAATGTCAGTAAAACCTACAACTAGTGTTTCCTCATCAATCGAAGCACATATTGAAAATCTTTCAAAGTGCAAACCTACAAAAGAAGAATGTTTAGTTCTGTCCAAAGGTCTAACATTTTCACCGACACCAAGATACACCACATAAATTTAATATCCGACTCTTTAGAATTTGCCCAAAAAATACGGAAAATATATTATTATGAACAAAATTCTACCACTTTAGACAGTAAATTTCCTCCTCCATTATTATTTAAAAAAAAAAAAACAATTCTTGGGAACCTGATCAATTATTGCCTGATCGTGAAATCGAACAATTTATCAATGTAGTAACATCAAATTTATCAGATCCTTCATTTCCCGACAGTTTACCCAAAAATAAAAATCTTACAAATCAAGAGTTTTAAGAAATCAGATCCTTACAGAATAACAAAAATATTGTAATACTTCTTGCTGACAACAAAACAGCATAGTTATTTTAAACAAAACTGATTAGGCTATATTAATGAATGTGAACTGCAAAAATACAAGATTCTTCAACATATAAAGAGCTTGAAGATGACTGCTATATAAAATTCAACGAAGACGTAAAAGAATTAAAAAAAATACAGCAAACCTGCCGACTAAGCGAATTTCCATTTGCCTGGACTGATTTTCAATTAGCCTAATCTATTTAATTAACATTTATGTTTAACGAGTACCTAGGTTAGCTGCTACAGGGAAACTAATAAAGTGTGTTTTTTATTAAAATATCAATAGCTTAGTATGAAATAAGTAAATCTGCCAAGTTTGATCAAAATATATCCATAACCAAGCCAACTACAAAATTTTACAATATTCTCCATAAGAATAACATGGGAATTTGAAATTAACAAGTTTTTGAATTTTCTCCGTAACCAATCATTGTACAAAAACACTTTGATATACTAAATTATTTGTTTTTTTAAGCTCTTTAAAAAGGTCTGGAGAAAAATTGATAAATTTTGTGTTTCAAGGGTAAAAAATGAGAAAAACCCATTTTTACCCCATAAAAACCCGTGTTAAACCCCGTTCCCATGGTCCAATCATGCTGGTTCGCGAACTCATTCAAGTTTATCCCGCCTTACACCTTCAAACCAAATGTTATCAAAATCGGACAAAAGTTACTCAAGTTATCGTCCGGACGGACATATATATATAAATAAAGATTAAACATTAATAAACTTAGTACATTAATAAATTAGGTATATACATATTTAACAAATTGTGTTTTTGGCCTGTGGGGACATCAAAATGAAAAAGTAAATCGGTCCCGGGCCTAGGTCTTACCATGAGACCTACGGTAATAGCTACTTCCCTATAGGAAAATTCGCTAAAAAATGCAGTCCGAATGAAAATTTATCTTTGGTACTCGTTAAAACTAACATTATTTAAATAGATTTTTATTAATCCAAACAGGCAAATGGGAATTCTCTTAGTCTGAATTTTTGCTCCGGTGGGGGTAATGTTTCTTTCAGTGAAATCAATTGTTTGTTCTTAAAGTTTAAACATGGATTAATGTGATTTAATGAATGTTTATATGGTTGGTTTAATTTTTTCCACTTTCCATATCTTTCCACTCTGGCATATTCCATTTCCATCTCGGGATACTTTGAATCCTGTTGAGAACTGCTACCTCCAGATATTCATTATAGCTCAGTGGTAGTCATGCATTAAAAGAATCTTTAATATCAACTAGTTGGCGGGTTTTTTTCTCTTTTACAACTTTTCACCGCAAATAACTGATCAGTGAGTGTTGTCTGTTCAGTGTCTCCATATCTCAAGACTCTCAGCATGGTTGCCAGTACCAAACTGCTACATCTACTCGAGGCCTTCAGTACTCCTTGGTTCCTCTTCTCCTCTCCCACCAACCATCATCTAGTCTTCTTCTTGCTAGAAATATTCAACAACATTATTCAGTATCAGTTTGATGGTGAGTATTAAGTAACCCAAATAAAAAAATGTTAGAGTCAAAATTAATAAAGTAGCCTATAGTTAATTTTGAGTTTAAATATTTTTTTTTAATAGGCATAACCTACAAAAGAGCCATCACTATGGTCGATTATGTAAGACCTTGCAGGATCTTTTTAAAAAATCACCAAACATAACCTCAAAGCTGGGAAACTGTCGTCAGCCGATCAGCTGGTTTTAGCATTATTTGTTTGAGAAACCACACATCTCCAGGACACGTGTGGTTTCTCAAATAAAGGAAACTTCTTGCTACTGGTAAGTGTCATTAGAGACATTGGATTAGTGTGGTTTCTACATAAAACGATGTATTTACATAAGAAGAACACATTTCAGTTAAAAAGTGAAAATGACAAAAAAATGGATATATGTAGTTTCTCAAATAAGTGATTTTTAAAACAGCAGCTTTTAAGGAATGTACAACAGATATTGATATTCCTCTTTAACCCAACAGGCAACTCAAACTTGGTGTACACGATTATCCGTAAGCGTCAGGTGTTCCACTCGTTAGCCAGTCTGCCCAGTGATTATGGCACCATAGCCAAGAGTTTGACAAAGAGGTCAAGGAAGCATGTTCCGTCGACGACAGAGCTGGACACCGGCCCAGAGAGTCCCAGCATGGAGGGCAGCAGGCCGGCACTACCTGCCGAACCAGGCACCCTCAAGGTAGGTCAACAGTTGCTTAAGTAGTTGTAAGCATATGCAGCAGAGAATGCTAAAGCTTACTTCACTCTAGTCTAAACTCACACACTAATAAGAGCTTTGAAAGCCAGTAACTTTTAAACCTGTGTTAAAATCAAGTTGTTGCCTAAATACTGGAAATCACCAGTTGGACTTGAGTTTAGGCTAAACCCCAACATGTGAACCACCTTATAATTTTTCAAAAATAATTTGAACCCTGAACACTTTTTTTTTAGTTGAATGTTTAAACTTTTGTATCAATGAGGGAATGTCCACTTTCAATTTTCTTTATCTTGTTGGATTAACCGTAGAACAAGATATTTTAAGGGTAAAGTGTTACCATTTAGTTTAAGTAGTTAGGTAAAGAGTAAGTGTTACCATAACCAAGCGTTGTGTGGCTGGATTTTTCAGGCCACACTTCCTGATACTCCTGGTATAGAGAAGATGACAGGTCAGGAATCTGGTCATGTGATGGGAGACCCTGACTCACCTGAGGATCTTGACAGTGTCAGTGCTGCCACCGCGGTCAACGGAAGAGCTGACACTGACGCCAGTAGTACCAACACAACACAAAACACCAGCAAACCACTCAAATCAGCTCCTCAGAGCCCTGTGAAGAGCAAAGCTCCCACAGTGCATCGATCCCCCTCTTTGGTAAGATTATTTTTTAATTTATTAGAGATTTACCGGGTTGGAGTTTCTATGCTTTGAACTACAATTTTGACTTTTTATCCATGAAAGTCAAAACCTTATCTGTATCATTTGTTGGGCTCTGTTCAAAATACTTGTTAGATAAGAGAACATGTTTATAGATACAGTGCAATGATGCAGTTGAGATTTAACATTGGAAATCACAAAGCACACATTGTTTGTACAGGAGTATTTTTTTTTTTTTTTATGAAATTAGGCCCAAGTCAATTTGTATGAACCACTTACACTCTCTTTCCTCTCACTTCTTGCTCTTTAAATCCTACTTTAAATTTCCCTTCAATGAAATTCATAAAAAAAAACTTAAAAACTGAAATTCTCCACTAAACACTCTTTACAATTACCTGATTAGCTTTTATTTGTTTCAATTTTGAGTTTTATGAGTGCAATTTATGGCTTAGTGGGATGATATTATCTGACTATGCATTTCAGTAGATATCCTATTCCCATGTTAAACCTGTAGGCAGACTTGGAATAAAAATGAAGGTTTAGTTGAATTGTGTCTTTTACAGAGAATGGTACTTTGTTACAATTACTTACTGATTTCTGCCAATCTGGAGGCATAGGTGCCCATCTCCCTACTTATTACTGTGCCATTCTCCCCCCAACCCTCCCACCCACCCTAACTTAGCAACCTGGCTCCTTTCTCCATAACCTATAAAAAAGAAAGAAAATCACAGTTAACTGTAAATACAAAATGTTTTAAGTCACGAGAGGTGATAAAATATTAGTAGGCGCTATATTTGAGTAATGGTCATGCCCATTAAATGGAGTTTGAGAGGTTTTGCTCATCCAAACCAGATATAATAAAATATCCACGAACTGGCAAATGCAAGACCAGCTAGCCACTATGGGACTGAAGAAAATGGAACAATTTCTCTCTATGCGTCCTCCCTGTGACTGTGGTCTTCAAATCTGCCTGCATCATAATGTTGTCATGATCGCGGTTGTATTGAGATCACCACTGCCATTGCGGCAAAATTTTTAACATCTTCTGCAATCACGGTAAAACTGAGAGCATCTCCCACGATATTGCAGCAATATCTTAACATTCCCCTGACTCACCTGAGGACCTTAACAGTGTCAGTGGTCAAAAAGGCATCATCATCATATCCAGGGATCAAGGCAAAATTAAGAGCATCTCTCTCTCTTACCATTGCAAAGATATCAGGTTGTTGTGACGAACAAATGTAAATGATAAAATACCCAAAACTGTGTTGCAAGTGTTAATATAGTGACTATAATATAAATAATACAATTACCTCGTCACAGCTCTAAAGTTTTGTTTATTAAAAAAACAGGAATAACAGGAGGTAATTTTATTATTATATTATAGTCATGAATTTAGCTCAGGGGCTAAATCATGTCTATTGATTGATATAGTGTATGAATTTAACAAAAATACTTTATAAATGTTAAATGGTAAATAAAATCCCTTCAAAAATTGCGGTGGTCACAATGCTCTGCTGGGCACCCCGGGCTGAACGCACAACTTGTAAGAGTAGCATCTCTTTTCTGACTTTAACAATCATCCTGATTGAACTTGTGTGTGTTACAGCCCAGCAGTGCAGGGGGACAATGGGTTCCTACCTCAGAGTGGGTCGCTTCATGGAAGTCCAAACTGCCTCTGCAAACCATCATGAGACTACTGCAGGTCCTGGTACCTCAGGTGGAGAAGATCTGCATTGACAAGTCAGTACCTAGTCACCCTGGCTCCACCATACAGTTAATTTCCAATTTAATAATACAGATTTTGTGATGAATAGGTTTAACAGCACAGAATTTATATTTGTGTATTAAGAGGGCAAAGTACATCATTGGCGCTCGAGAACTGTAGATGGCTGCACAAAGCTTTAGATTAGTGTAGCCTTACATTTCAAGAGCGGCAATGACTGTGCTTGTAATATACCCAGGATTTTTCCTACCACCATGATTAACTTATCATAACACAAAGATCAACTTCTAGTTGTATATATAATGTCATTTAGGCTATGTTTGGGTTTGCTTTTTTAGGTCATGCTATATGCTTACCGGTTGTTAACGTACCTGAACCTGTTAACGTACCTGGCTGTGGGTAATGGAGAAACGCCAACAGTGAAATCAGCTGAATACCGAGCGGGAATGATCCATTCCCACTCTAGAGCGTAAATGAGCTGTTTTGCATACTGTTTACAGGTGTGGCAATGCGATTATTTCCATGGAATGGTAGGAAAAGCTAGAAATACATCTAATAACACTTGAAATTAGGGATGGACGGGATTTTTATTTCCTTCCCAATTTTATTTGTATTCCCTTTCAGAGTTTTTTGAGGAGAAGAAAATTGTATTTTAGCTTGTAAGCTTTATGTTTTATGACCTTTGACTAGTTATATTCTTGACTGTTGCTAATACATGTACAATGTCAATAGCAAATAAAGATTTCTAATCTATTCTATTCTATTCTAAACAATCATAGTTTTTTTATTGTATTTCTAAAACTTGACAAAGGTTACTCGGTTAGGTTTATTACAGACTAGCTGTGTTCCCGTTCTACGCACGGGGATCAAATAGTAGTCAGTTGAAACCTTCTTACATTAAGAACAGCAGTTGGTTTGTATATTTTCAGATATGCTGGCAAAACTATTATGTATAAACCTTCACAAATACAGTAGGCTATCTGACAGTTTCAAGCAAAAACAAATGCTTCGCAATGAAATGTCACCCGGATCGTGTTGGTCCATATGTTAAATCCAATGATTAAACTAAAAAATGCTTTATAGATCTATGAGGCATAGCCCTAAGGTAGGCCAATAATTGAAAGTTACTTTCCACAATGGTTAAAAGTATTTAAAGTACTACCTCAACCTTACCATTTAACACTTTAATCGGGTTGACATTTTCATTATCAAAGGTGCTCTTGTCCTTTCCGTGAAACACTGAGAAATAAGGACATTAATGCGTTACCAACAGACATACACACAAAAATACAGAACTTAATTAGGGAATTTGCTACGCTTTAAGCGTAACAAAGTACATATAAAATTAGTATTTGAAATCTTTGTTAATGTCATCAAATTTTATCATAACAATTTATATTTGCTTAGACCGAAGATGACCCGAAATGCTGTCGAGGCCACGAACTATTGATACATAAACAATGTAAAGCGTAAAAAATTCATGGTGGTTTGCTGAACAAATGTTTTACTAAAATGCGTTATCATTTTATTAGCATAAACTAACATTTTGGAATCCAGACAGAAAAGGCAAAACTTATACAGTTAAGACATCAATTAAATTGAGTACGGCTGTAATAAATAAGGTGCAACACCAACGACAACTAATTTGTAAATAACAGTGATGTGTTGGTACGTAAAAACTATTCTTGCTGCTATCAACGGTTCTAAGGAAAAGAACCAGTACCATTGGCGTTGTCAACATCAACACTTTGGGGGTGACAAATGGGGGTCCTCCGGGGGGCTTGGGGGTGCTCCCCACAGGGGGTCCGGGGGTCCTCCCCCGGGAAAACTTGTAATTTTCAAAGCCGTTTGGTGACTTTCTAAAGCCATTTTTAACACCTAAAACCGTGCCCAACTGTCCATAAACTCCCATTTCACCTGTTGTTTGTCATGAGCAAATAGAAATCTTAAAAATTAAACTATGACGATCGCATTAATGAATTTCAAAACACACTGTAGACTACGGCCATATTCTCCTAAAAGCCGTTGGGTGACTTTCTACAGCCAGTTTTAACGTCTAGAACTGTGTGCAAAACCTCACATTTCCCCATTTATTTGTCATGAATAAGTAGACATTTTTAAAACTAACTATGACGATTGCATTCATAAATCTCAAAACATATTGTAGGCTACGGCCGTATCCTCACAAAAGCTGTTTACTGACTTTCTAAAGCCATTATTAATGTCTATGTCCAACTGTCCAAAAACCTCCCGTTTCACTTGTTATTTGTCTTTGTCATGAGCAAGTAGACATTTTAAAAATCAAACTATGACCAACTTGCATTCATGAATTTTAAAACATAGGCCTACTGTAGACTACGAAGCCATATCTCCTAAAAGCCTTAGAACTGTGCCCAATTGTCATAAAACCTTCCATTTCAATATGCCATGCAAGCAAGTAGACACGTTTTTTAACCTTACGTTTTTCTTCATTTCATAGATCTGTCACAATATGTAGCCTATAGTATCGAATTCAGTAATAGCAATGCCTATATTAACTTTAACACTAGTGTTTATATAGTCAATGGTAATGGTTGATTGCTGATTGATGCCTATGTAAAGTCAGTGGCTAGCAGACAGTTTCACAACTGTATAACTATGAGTATGGGACATAAGGAAATCAGCTGTTTTCCCGTCCTCGCTCGCGCACTTGGCGCTCGCCTTTGCCCTAGCATGTCTACAGCTGAATTCGGGATGGGACAAAACTGACTTTTCAAATATTGGGGGGGACGCGTCCCCCATGTCCCCTATTGCGGCAACGCCCGTGACCAGTACCATAAACCAACGTTTGCAATTAATAATAATAATAATAATAATCTTTATTGTCATTCAGCAACATAAAATTACAATAGACAACGTCAGAAGTTAGGACACAAATGTGACATCATGCTTAAATCTATACATCATCCTATGAAACATTGAACATTTTGTTGCATAAACTGTACATACAGGCCTAAATATTTAAATTTAAAATTCTAAGATTGAATGCTTTACACAAATTTATACAAAACTTAAGTAAATAATGCTTCAAAACTAAACAATTTGTAAATATTCAGGAAATTTATAAAAATATTTTTGGTCATGCAGGCTGCCTCCTGGTGGCCAATAGTGTTAAGAGTTCAGAGTAATTATTTGTGTTTAAAAAATCGTCTATAGAAAAAAAGGCTTTGCTAATTAGCCATCTTGATAATGTTGATTTGAAAAGGTTTATGTTATCAATTTCTCTAAATGGAATGGGAAGTTTATTGAAAAGTTGTAATTGTAAATATTTATGGCTTTTTGTGAATTTTGAAAGTCTAACTGGTGGGATGTACAGGTTGTTTGATTGTCTAGTTGAGTGGTTATGTATTGAGTGGCATTTAGTAAAATTTGTAATGTTTTGTTTAACAAAGACTAAATTATTAAAAATATAAATACTTGAAAGTGTCATTATATTATTATTTATAAAGAAAGGTTTGCAGTTGACTTTATTTGGTATATCAAACATGATCCTCAGGGCTTTTCTTTGCCAAGTAAACACCCTGCTGGCCCCACAGCTATTTCCCCAGAGAATATTTCCATATAATAAGTGTGTATGAAATAAACTATGGTAAACAGAAAGAAGTATGTGATTTGATACACAGTTTTTTAGTTTTCGCAATAAAAAACAAACTCGTGACAACTTAGATATTACATTGTTGGTATGTTCTTCCCAAGTTAATTTTTTATCTAAGAAAATACCTAGCAATTTAACAAAATCTGGATTTTCAATTTGGTTTCTACGTAGTGTAAAACATATTTTCTCTGTCTTATCACTATTAATTTCAAGAAAATTACTCTTAAACCAATTATTACCAATATCGATCATGTTATCAATTCCATGGATTGCTGTGTTAAGATTGTCAGAAGGCCAAATAAACGATGTGTCGTCTGCATATAGAACTGTTTTACAAGGCATAGCATTTGGCAAATCATTAATATATAAAATAAACAATACTGGCCCAAGTACTGACCCCTGCGGCACCCCAGCAAGAACCTCTTTAAAAGCTGATGTTTGTTTGCCGGAAGCTACATATTGTTGTCTGCCACAAAGGTAGGTTTTAAAAAAATTTAGTTCCTGGTTTTTTATACCATAAAAATCCAATTTCTGCAAAAGTATGGTGTGCAGAACTGAGTCAAAGGCCCTGCTGAGATCCACAAGGGCCAGACTCAGATAGTTGCCAGATTCAAATGTATCCAGAATATCTGACACTATGGATTCAACAGCTAAAGTTGTGGAGTACCCGGGTCGAAAGCCAAATTGATTGCTATTCAGAATTTTATTATTTGTTAAAAAATCAAAAAGCTGTATTTTAACACAATTTTCAATTATTTTTGAAAAAACTGGAACCATTGAAATGGGACGATAATTGGAAACAGAAGATATATCTCCTTTCTTGAAAATTGGCACTGTTTTGCATATTTTCAGACAACTTGGAAATGTGGAATTTAATAAGGCAATATTAACTAAATAAGTTAAGGGTTCTAGAATGTATGGAGCTATACATTTGACAATTTTGTTAGAAAAGCCATAAAAATCTTCAGAGTTAGAGGAACTAAGTGATCTTATAACTTTTAAAATTTCAATTGATGTTACCGGATTCCAGGAAAAATTGGTATTAGAAACATTTTCCTTATCTAAAAAGTCGTAAAAATGTAACCCACTTCCCCCTCCATTAGAGAACTTGTCTAAAATTTGTTTTCCTACATCAATGTAATAGTCATTAAATTCGTCAGCTGTAATTGGTGGATCCGACTTTTCACTTTTAAAAAATAAACCACTTTCTGACTTAACAACTTTCCATGCAGCCTTACATTTGTTTTGTGAACTATTAATAAATTCCTCATTATATTCTATCTTAGCGGTTTTAATTCTAGTTTTATATTTGTTTTTGTAAGATGATAGACATTTTTTTAGGATGTCATTGTTTTGATAAGCTGGTATTTTAGTCAAATCCTT